ATATAAATTATTTTAAAAATAAAACTTAATGGTAATTTATTTTATTTTGGTAAAGTATATTCAGCTTGAATTAATTTTAAGAAACAAAAGAAATTAGTATTTATAAGCTTATTAAATATGTTAATATATTAATAAGAATCAAAAATAATAATAAGCAAAGTTTTAATTAGAGAAGATGAAAAAGTATAAAAGCATATATATAATTGCAAATTTGTAGTACTATTTAAAATAATTGCTTTACTCTAGTGGTTGATATGTCTGTTTTAAATAGTGGCAAGGTCCGAGTTCGAATCCCGGAATGTTCATATTTTTTAAAAAATAATGAAATCGAAACGACATCGTTTTATCATTTTAAAGGTTGACTAACTTCTGTTACGGTCAATGTAGGTTTAGGCACGTTTTAAAAAGTTCAGGTAGTATTTTTGAATTATAACGTAGTTCAGGTCGTATTTGGCACTGGATGTTTGTTCGGGTTGTATTTGGCACGATTAAATTTGTTTGGGTAGGAATAGACCCGACGTCGTTTTATCATTTTAACGGTTGACTAACTTCTGTTACGGTCAATGTAGGTTTAGGCACGTTTTAAAAAGTTCAGGTAGTATTTTTGAATTATAACATAGTTCAGGTCGTATTTGGCACTGAATGTTTGTTCGGGTTGTATTTGGCACGATTGAAATTGTTTGGGTAGGAATAGGCTCTTTTCCCATATGATACTACACATCTCTTTACTCGTTGAAGAGTTTGAGCTTTTCTGTAAATTGAGAATACCCGGATTAGTTTAAGAAAAACGAACATACCCTTGTCTTGAACAAACAATAATCTTACAATATCATATTGAAAACTTTTTAACTTAGTGACTAAACTTGATCCTAACATAGGATTCGAAACAGTCAAGGATTGTAAAGGTTGATCCGACAACCCGAACAGCCAGACATTTTTTTGTGGTTTTAAGTAACGGTTTCTCTTCTAATCTGTAACCCTTTCCAAATCAGTATTATCAATACAAATTCCAGTGAAAAGAAAAACAAATAGTGTGATATATTATTACAAGAGTTTATTGGCAACATAAGCAAGCAAATACATTGGCAAAAGACAAACAAACGAATTGGAGGAGACTCTTTCTCTTATTGGTTTAATTTAATACACGCACTCACACGTAACATAAACAGTGAATGTAAACAACCGCAGATTGTACAGCAGCTTTCTCTGGTAAAAACAAGAGTCTGGAGAGCAATGAAGAAAACCAACAACCACTAAACTGGTTCTCTTTCAGATTGTGTTTTTTTTTCTCACTTCTTACCAGAGACTCAGAACATGTAGACAACACTGTCATGGATCCTTGACTTCTGGTTCTGTGCAACACATTCCGATATCCACATCAGGTTCCTGATCTCCTGCTCCCTCAACCTCATATACGCAAAGAACACCCCGTAATGGAACTGCAATAAAACTCACGTTTAGACAGCAAATTAGATTTAAGACGAGTTATGCAATTAGAAACGAACCTGCTGCTCAAAGGCTAAGCAAAGCCTTCTCACTTCTTCTTCATAAAACGCCTTGTCAAGCATTTGGCTCTCTCCATAAGACATCTTGGAGAATATTGCTTGGTAAGGAGGGTACTTCTCCATAACACCACGAACCTAACAGTGAATAGCAATGAGATTCATTGAGCCATTACTGCCACACATAACAGATTTGTAAATGTATTAGCTTACTTATTTTACCTGATCTATGTCTTCGCAGATAGCAAGCTCCTCGTGACCATATGGATAGCTGCACAAGCAAGAAAAAGTAAGACCATGGTAAGAAGAACTAGTTTATAGTTTTATGAAACCATTGAATGGAATGTATAGTTTGGCTCTAGAATGCTTACAGGAGACCAAAGTTCGAGTACAGTTTCTTCCTGTCTTCTCTTGTAAGCTCAGTGCCAATGCTGCATAAAAAGAAGAAACATCAGTTTAAGCGCCATAATTAAAGACAGTAACACAACAATGGCAAAATCTTTTGTTTGATGCACTAACCTATTGATGGTGATGTTCACAGCTCTTCTGTCAGCTTCGAAGGCCAAAAGATCAGACATAATCTCTGATGTTGCCCCACCAAGTTTCTATTTCGGATGCACAGCGAAAATAAGGTTAGCTAGCATAGAGGTAGATGATGAAACTGTGTAAAAGAGAGTATTTAGGAGTCGAGTAGCACCTGACAGAACTTGTAGAAATCCTCAAGGTATGCTTTGTAGAGCGTGTTCCTCATAATCTCTATGTTCATGTCATCCAAATCCTGAAAAATAATATGAACGTGAAGCCATAATCTACCAATTTATCCGGCAACTAGAAACCAACGGGAACGGGACAATGTTTCAGCTATGTACCTCTGAAGTTAAGCATTCAGAGAAATATGGAGCCAAAGGAGTATCCACAAGCACCAACCTATAGAGCTCCCTCATGTTCTGAGCAACTGCCAGTGTGGCAATGCTGGAAAAGAAAAATCATTAACAAAAGCATTAAAAGGAAAAGAAAAAGGATCAAAAGGTGAATGCGGGTACCTGTCAAACATGCCTAAAGGGTGACATTTCTCGATCAGCTCTTGAACATCTCTCTCGTGGAGGGTTCCAGTAACAATCAGCACGACGTTGTCAATCATGTGGCCGTATCTAAATTACATAAAATATTAAGAGAAAGAACCCAATATCTCAAAGGTCAGCGTCTTTTATTGATAGATCATAACGTAATATATATAAGTGAGCAAACTACAACAAAATTATCAAACTCTTTGCTCTCAACATACTGAAACAAACCCATTTCACTGAAACCTCATCAAAAATGGAACTTCATAAAATTATCAAACCTTACCCACTCTGATGCACATTAAAAGGAGTCTAGCAAACCTAAATACCAACAAAACTAATAGTCTTATACCTGGAAACTAAAAAAGGTCCAATAACAACACTGCAACACCATTTTCTATTGATCTAGAATGATGATTTACGGAAGTATCTGACTTACCTGATGTACTCCAAGAAGGTAGACATAGGCTCAGTTGCTTGACAAATCATATGCTTATAGTCATCAACAAGCTTGAGAGTGCACTTCTCCACAATTGTAGTTGTATGCAGAGGTGACGGTTCTGCACCCAAAGATTAAAAAAAAACATTTTTTGACTACAATAATGGAATAGAGATTAAGTGAAAAATAATCACTTAACAGAACAAATCACTGTCTTGTCTAAACATCAGCTTAGAGATCCAATAATGAAGACGAATTAGAGTTAAAAATAAAATTTTATAGAGCATTTTTTACAACAATACTTGAATAGAGATTCAGATAAACAAAAAAATTGTGCAGATTTCAGATAAAAACAACAGAAGCAATCATTGTCTTGTCTAAACATCAGCTTAGAGATCTATTAATAAAGATGAATTACAATTAAAATAAAACTGATTTCAATGATGAAAAACATTTTTTTTACAACAATTATGGAACAGAGATTCAGATAAACAAACAAGTGTGCGGATTTCAAACAAAACAACATAAAATAAAAATCACTGTCGTGTCTAAACATAATGTTTGAGATCCTTTTACGAAGATGAATTACAATTAAAAAACAAAACTGATTTCAATATTAAAAGAACATTTTTTTACAACAGTAATGGAACAGAGATTCATCTAATCAAACAATTGTGCAGATTTCAGACAAAACAACAGAAGTAATCACTGTCTTGTCTAAACATAATCTTAAAGATCCATTCACGAAGATGAATGACAAACTAAAACAAAACAGATTTCAAATTTAAAACCAATTCATAACCCTAAAACCCAGAAACCCACATCAAACGAAACAGAATCAAAAGTCAACTAATTCAGATTCACACGGAGATCGATCATAATGTACGAAAACGCACCGTTTTGGAGGTAAGGCCCATATTTGGTAGCGGAGAGATGCATCTTGATGTCGTCAAGATTCTCACACTGGCAAAGATTGTTGTAATCGGCGGTGGTGAGAAGACCAGCACGGTGGCCTCTCACGATCGCCTCCAAGTATCCGCTATGGATGTTGAACGTAAGCGCCTCGAATCCGTACATCCTTCTCTTCCTTTTCTTTTTCCCTTGACGGAGGATATTCAGATCTTGACGGAAGAGAGAGAGAGGGAGATCTGATAGAAAACAATCGCGAAGGAGAGAGATCGAGGCGAAAGAGGATTGGCTTTGAAATTGATTTGTTTTGCAATGTCGTCCTTGGAACGTTGGAAATTACGATACTGTCCTTAAACCGGTCGTAAACCGAACAATGTACCAAATTACGATAATGGCTTTAAACCGGTCATAAACCGAAATTGGATGTAAGTTTTGGTTCGGTTGGTCGGTTTATTTTAGTTACTACCTATAATAAATTTGGTGAGTTCAGTTTTAGAACCACAAAATTGTATAAACGAACATGTGTCTACAGATGACGCTATAAAAACATCTGTTTTATAACATCTAATTTCAAGAACCAAACATACAACATTGAATTTAACAAAAAAAAAACATTGAATTTAACTTTTTTTTATAAAAAAAGTTAACTTGTTTATTACATAAAAAATATGACCAGTACTACTTATTTGCTGGAATATTTATTTTGCTTGAATAGAAGTTTGGACTTGATAACCAATGTCCAAAAAAAATCACTAGAACTACCATTTTATATGAGATTACTGACTAGGTAGGCGACTAGATTGTTTTTTTTCTTTGAGAACCTAAACAGATTTTTTTTTTTAGAAAAACAGTTAGTAAAAAGTCAATAACCATGGTTGACAGTGGTAAAGAGATGAAACGTTGACATGTTTCAGATTCGATTCACCTGCGAGAAGATGAAATGTTAACACGTTTCAGATTCAATTCACCTGCGATGCAAAAGTAAGTCATATACATCTACATGAATACAAGTCCATGTTTTCGGACCTATCTACATATCCGTTGAGAAAATCTATTCATAGAATACATTTTCGCTCGAGGATTAGTCTGTCTTTCATTGATTGGGGATACCCAAAATTAAAAGAAAAAAAAAAATCGTTGCAAGAGACCTTGTTCCCATTCCAAATTGGTGTATGTTCCTCGGGTCCTTCCCACAAAGGTGAATTTTTCATTTCTTTCTACACATTAAACATTAAATGCATAGCAAGACATATATTACAGGGTAAACATAAGGTTTTACAGACAAACAGGTTTTATATATATATCCTTACAAGAACTTTACACTCTCAACCTTTACATTTCTAACACATTAAAAACCACATCAAAATCTTTAGACCTTCAGGACCAAAGATACTTTCCCTGAGTTCCATCCACTCAAAGAACACAAACATTCCAAAGCTTTCAGTTTCCACAGACCATCTCTTTTGCTCTGCGTTTTTTTTAAAAAAAAAGAGGTTGCAACCAAGAATACCGTAAGAATCAATGCAACATGAAGCCACAATCCGCAAAACCTTGGTCAGGCATGATGAACTAAATCCCTATTACTTTGAGTCATTGCTCTTTTCCTTTAGGCTTTGGTGATTGACTAGGCTTTGGTGATTGCCTCGCATTGCGATAAGGTGAAGCTTGAGGCAGGTTTAAACTAGACAAACTCCTCAAAGGCGGTCCGTTTCTCGACACAAACCCACCTCCTTGTGTCCTAACACCGTTCTTGGCAACAGGCTGCATTGTCTGGAAAGACGTGGAAGAGCTAGCAAAGTCTTTAAGACTTGGTAAAGGCTTTAAGGCCTCCACAACTTCACTCATCTTTGGTCTAGCTTTTGAGTCTCGGTTAAGACACTGTGCCGCTACTTGTGTGGCTTTCTGAGCTCCCTTGATCGAGAAGTGACCCTCTAAGCGAGGATCCAACAGTCTGTAAAACTTCTTTTTGTCTAAAAGATGAGGTTTCACCCATTCCACCAAGTTTTGTTCACCGTTGGGACGGGTTTTATCAACAGCTCTTCTTCCAGTTAGTATCTCAAGTAACACTACTCCAAAGCTGTACACATCACTCTTCGTTGTTAAATGACCTGATATTTGAAACTGAGATTAGTAACTCCATAAACTAAATAATAACAAAGAGTGAGGATACTTTACTCACCAGTCATTACATATTCAGGAGCTGCATAACCATATGTTCCCATGACTCTTGTTGATACATGTGATTTCTTCTCGTCTGGTGCATCTTTTGCAAGCCCAAAATCAGATAGCTTTGAGTTATATTCCTGAAAATAGAATCATTTGTTTCCAATATAAGTAAGAATGGAGAAGATATATGGAAGAACATTAGGCTTTGGGGGCTTAAGAGTTCAGACATACAGCGTCTAGTAAAATGTTAGATGTTTTGAAATCGCGGTAAATGACTGGCTTCTCAGCTTCCTCATGAAGAAAAGCAAGACCTTTAGCTGCACCAAGCGCGATTTTCATTCTCACAGACCAAGGGAGAGGTAATGTCCCTGAAAACAAAAAAGATCAATGAACAAGAATCCTCAAGCAAAAAAGAAAAACAAGATCAGCAGCGGTTTTTTTGGTTTACATACTTCTGAAAAGATGATTCTCCAAACTTCCTCTAGGCATAAACTCATAAACAAGTAGCCTTTGATCTTCTTCCATGCAATAGCCAACCAATTTAACCAGGCTTGGGTGAACAAGGTTACCAAGAAAGTTAATCTCAGCCTGTCCATAAATTTAGCAATATATGATCAACAATTAGGATGTAAACCAACTATCAAAGTAAAGATAGTTTGGTGATTACCAGCCACTCCTTGTGACCTTGAAGGCCATCTGGGTTCAGTGTTTTGACAGCTACAGTTAAACCAGTACCAGGCTTGACCGGAGCCGTTCCGTTTTCCTCAATCCATCCTTTGAAAACACATCCAAACCCACCTTCACCGAGAAGAGACTCTGGTCTGAAGTTCCTAGTGGCTAACTTGAGGTCGTTAAACATGAATATCCTTAGCTTAGAAGAATACTTCAATTCCCCACTGATTAGTGGTGTTGTGGAGCCACTCCCCGGACGGCTAACAACATCTTTAGACGGAGGTGGATGATCTTCACGTTTCTCAATAACATTCTTAGGTGCTACTGACAAAAAAAATCAAAAACGAAAGTGAGTACTAGAGAAAACCAAGTCCTAAACTTGAACAGTAAGATAGAAAGACAAGGCAGATTGTCACTAAAAGAAAAGGTTTGTCACCATGAAATCTTCTCTCTAGTCTTTGATTTTAAGCAAAAAACTAAGGTAATTCCTCTTAGTCAGAAAACACTCAACACAAGAAAACTTATGTCCACACATAGGAGACATAAACATGTCTTTTCTATCTCAAGTGTATAAACAAACTCAACCTACAAGGCTAAGGCTACACAAACACAAACAAACTCACAAACTAGTAAAGAGGAAGAAAGAGACTTTACCAACAACAGTGGTGGTGGCATTCAAGGAACTATCAACTTTTGATCTAGAAGAGATGCAACTGAAAATGAGTTTGATTCTGAACCAAAACCCACTTTCACTCTGTTTACTCAAAGTCTTCTCCTTTTCATGTTTCTCCCCACCCACAACCTTAACAGAGTCTTTCTCTATAGCCATATGAACAAACCCTAATCTCCACTCAGATCACCATACCCACCAAAAAAGCAAACACCAATGAAAAAAAAAAAAAGTCACTTCAATTAGCCCTAGAACAACAGATCACTCCCTCTCATCACATCCATACTCAATTTGATTAAAGATCTGATTCAGACCCAGAAGATGAAATAAGAAACCCAATTCTCTCAAAGTATAAAGTTTGGTTCTTTTTTCCCTAGAAACCGAACAGGATTCTTTTTAAGACAAGATCCAAAGTAAGAAAGACAACTTTGTTGGAAGTGAAAATTGAGGTTCTGTGTTGGTGGTGACAAAGAAAGAGATGATGAAAACAAAGTGAAGGGAAAGGAAAGGAGAGATTAGGGTGAGAAAGTTTTAGTCAAAAGGGATGATCTTTTGCGTGCGCTAGAGCTACGAAAGGGCATCTTCAGAGAGAGAGAGAAGAGAGAGACTGAAACTGGTCAGCAACGGGCAGATCGGGCAGCTTGTGTGTGACAGAGAAGGCAAATTGGTCACAGCTTGGGCAGCTGAGAAAAAAAGAAGTACGCGTACATAAATAAGCTCCAAATAATTAAGTGTTAATTTTTATCGAAAAAATGTTAATCTAATTACAATACTCCTTAAAAGATAAATTTTATCAAAATTAAGGGATAATTTATTTTCATTTAAGAAAAATTTCTGTGAAACATAACTTTCTACAATTTATACATTTTTAATAAAATAATTTGGTCACTTATGATATATGCCATCTGTTTTTATACTCCCTCCATTTCTGAATAAGTGTCATTTTGACATTTTTTACACAGATTAATAAAATTATTAAAATATATATAAGTTATTATTAATTATACCTCTTTAACCAATAATAATTTAGATAAATAGAATTATTTATAAATCAATGCAGTTTGTAATTAATTTTTAGCTGATAGTAATTATAGTTTCCATTGAAATTGCAAAGTGACACTTTTTGTGTAACAAAAAAATGGTTAGAATGACACTTATTATGAAATAGAGGGAGTATTTGACGTTATAGGTAAAAAATTTTGTTTAAAATTATTTAATGTTTTCAAACTTTTATGTAAAATTTATTAATAATTAAAATAACATTATTATTGATATAATAGTTTTTATTTTATTATTGGTTGAATTGTGGTAATGTAAACAATTAATAAAGTTTTTCTTTAGAAAATAAAATAAAATATTTTTTCATCTATGTTAATAATTCTAAAATATTAAATATAAAGGGAATACCATTTTGTGGATATTAAACTACGAAACAATCATTAGTAAATCTTTAATATTTCCAAAAAAATATAACACTTAAAAAAAATATAACAATCATTAGTAAATCTTTAATATTTCCAAAAAATATAGAATCTGATATCATCTACAACAAGCCAACAAATCTATAATAAACGGCCTTCCCAAGTCGGCAAGTCCAGTTGAAAACAATCAACAACACTCAAAAATACTATATATGCAATTAACAATGCTTGAATTTTTGGATTTGAACACTGATCTGGAATTCTGAGTGTGAATGTTGATAAACAATGGTTTTCTCCTCTCTCTCGTCATTTATTCTTTAGATATTAGAAATGCAAGGATATAATAGATTAATCAAGTATGACTGTGTGAGAGTATGCTGATAACTTTCTTTACTCGTTTCCAGATTCTTTAATAGTAGCATTAATCAGCAACTAATAATTGAGTTAACTATATAAAAAAAAAAACAAGACGAAAGGGTAGACTTTTTGTGGTTTTGGAGAAAGATAGTTATTATGCTGACTTACATCTAGAAGAATATAAGCTTTTGTGACACATGGAGTCATTTAAGGTGTTTAGCAGCTAATGGATAAACGGTGGGCAACTAAACTTGTTGAAGTTACAGGTGGTTGTCTTTTTTGACTCTTTTGAGTTCAGACCAATGAAATTGTGATTCTCTTTAAGTGTTTTTTTCTTTCTAATAAACAAAAAAAAAGAGAAAGAATGTTTTTAAGAGTGAACGTAGAGTCACCGGAGAAGATGGTGAGATACGCGGCGGAGAACACACAACACAAAGGACAAGGTCAAGGACCGATGATGATACTGCAGAGCTACGGCCGCCTATAGAAAATTATATCTTTGCATGTAGGAAGAATTTTAATAAATACAAAAAGAAAATCTAAACATTTTATAAATCTAAGCTAATGTACTATATGGCATAATGTTGGATTCGAATCTTAGAATGATGATGATATGAATATCTTTAGTGGAAACTAGCTAAAAGACCTGGTCTTATAAAGAAGTAAAGTGATGATACCATACCAAAAACAATGGTGTGGGAAAGGTGTTACAACAATAAATAAGATGAATTTTGATTACTCTTCTTGGCATGGTTAGGTTAGCTCCATGTAATTAAAATCTCTTTAAACCATTGAATGAAGGTAACTATCAAAACTTAAAGTGGTTTTTATGTGAAATAAAAAAAAGTTACAATAAAATGGAGATGCGGGCTATCGATCCCCGTACCTCTCGCATGCTAAGCGAGCGCTCTACCATCTGAGCTACATCCCCTTTTTGTTACTTGTGATCATATTATAGATTTAATCATACTTTTATCTGGACGTCAGTTTGAGTTGGCTAGACCCTTTTGTCTGTGCAGTTTAAACCCTTTTATGTAAATGTTCATTTTGTTTTGTTCATGTTTCAAGGTGACCTTGGAGCACTGGTTTGGCCATGTACCCTCTTATCGTTCTTAACAGTTGCTGCCTTGAGTTATATATTGGACAACAAACTCTTTTTAATTAACATTGAACCATTAAGAAGTGTTTGCATCATCCTCTGTATGAACCCATGAAGATTTTGAGAAGCAAGTTATGTTACTTAAGTTTAGGGCAAGTCGTCTTATGCTTTGATTTGGTTAGTCTACCATCTTCCTAGAACAATTATGGCAGAGATAACCTGAAGCTTTGCTAAGAGAAAGATATAGATGGGTGCTGAAACTTTGGTGGTGCTTCATTTATATGTGACTCGAAAACATTAGAACAACCTTAATAGATACTTATGGCCTAATAGAACAATCAAATATGTACTTGAGATGGCCTTATAGAACAATCAAATATATACTTAAGATGGCCTAATAAAACAATCAAATGTATACTTAAGATGGCCTAATAGAACAACCTTATTCATTACACATAACACACAAATAAATAAAAATATACAACAGGCCTCACTTATTTTCCTTATATCTTTTTAATTGGTACCATTGTTCTCAGATAGGTCACCATTTTCAACTTTCTTCTTCTTCTCTGCTTCCTCTTCTTTCTTCTTCTTCCTCTTCTCTTCCTTCTCTGCTTCCTCAGCCAACTTCCTTGCCTTCTCCTTCTCCTCCTCCACAGTCTTGACCAAACGCTTGATACAAACATCTGCATCTTCTTCATCAGATTTAGGCATCAAACTCTCAGCAACATCAGCAGGAGACATGTCTGTTTCCTCAAGCAACCTCTCAATCTCTCCATACAACTCATGTGACTCAATCTCTAAGTAGTTCTTAGCCAAAACCTTGAACGCTTCAAACCTACAATAAGACATCTCAATATGTTTGTCCATTCTCCCTCTCCTTATCAATGCAGGATCAAGCTTATCCACAAAATTTGTAGTGAATATAACAATCTTCTCATCACTACAAGCTGACCATAACCCATCAATGGAGTTTAATAGCCCTGAGAGAGTAACCTTACTCTTTTTCTCATCTTCTTTCTTCTTCTCCTTCTTCTTCTCCTTGTCCTCCTCTTCATCCTCCTCCTTTTTTGTCTTTCTCTGACCCGTGAGATCAAGAGAACAATCAATATCTTCAATCACAACAATAGACTTACTTTTGGTATCAAGCAACAGCTTCTTCAGCTCTGAGTTATCCTTAACCGTCGTTAACTCAAGATCATACACATCATAGTCCAAGAAGTTAGCTATTGCAGATATCATCGTTGACTTCCCTGTCCCTGGAGGACCAAACAAGAGATAACCTCTCTTCCACGCCTTCCCAACCTTCTTGTAATAATCTTTCCCTTTACTAAACTTCACCAAATCCTTCTTAATCCCTTCTTTCTTCTCAGGATCCATAGCTAAAGTCTCGAACGTCGCCGGATGATGAAAAGGAACATTACTCCACTTCCCTGACATCCATGGATACCACTCTGAGCTTGAGTTGTTAGTATACAACTTCCTCTCTCTGTTCCTCACACCAATAGCTTTCCCTTCTCTCAAAACATGATTAATATAACTCTCAAGGATCATCCCTCTGTGTCTTCTATGGAAAGTAAGCGTAAAGAACCTTCTTTCATACGTGTTGTTCCGACCGTAGTTAGATTGTGTTTCAGTCACTTTCACGTTGGAGTACCACTTCACCTTCACACCATGGAACACATCTTCAACTTCCTCGTGATCATCCATACTTAGCACAACAGACTTGCTGTTTTTGGACTCGTTAGCCTTTAGCCTCTGCGCACGAGCAGCTGTATTTGTGGATAGATAGTTGCGTATAGCGTCGTAGTTCTCGCTTCTCTTGAGACCTTCTTCTGTGTACTCGGTGAACTTTATGTGGACGTGGAATGAGATCCATCCGAGGAGCTTGTAGGCGTATCTCTCCACGTGAGATCTGACGTGGCGAGGGATGTATTGTGAGTACATCGCCCATATGAGGATAATGCTCGTCACCGTCTTGCCGGTTATTCCCCATATTGCTACGGTTTCAAGCATTTTTTTTTGGTTTCTTGTGTCTCAAGACTCTTTGCTTGTGTTGCAAGAGAGAGTCTTTGTGTTTTTTTTTTTGTTCTTTTAGACTTGTCAAGTGTGTTATGATTTGGTTTGCTTCATTAGAGGCTGTTATATAGTACTCCAGAAGCTCCCAGGAGCCGCCACGAAACTAATTTTATAGGAAAATGATCAGATATGTGCAGAATATTATTATGTCTTTTTTGTTTTATATATAATCTGGGGCATACGTAGATTTGATGCCCAAGTTACTGATTTTCTGAGGGTTTGTCCCCGCCAAACATACTCAGTTACTCGTAATAAGAAATAGATATCTGTATCGTCTTGTCACACAAGTGGTAAAATTGAGTTTGGTATATTTCCAATCAATGGTGCTTAGCACATTTTTAGGCTTCCAATATGGTAATCAACCATTTGCTTTGCACCGCTGTGAATAATAATAAAAATCTCTATATATATCTGTGTATCTATATATTTTTTGTTACTATTTGAACCGTACTGCATTTGGACTGTAATTGTCCCACACGTTATCATTCAGAACCTAGTCTGCTGTACTAATCGACTACACTAATATGACTAAATATGATTATGTATGGAATTATTACGAGTATAATCTGTTTCTTAAACCATGATGAGTTAGTTTTGGTAAGGGTTTGCGGTTATAACGACTGTTACCTGCTTTCTACGCAATAAATAGTATTAGTATAGGATGGTCTGGGGGATAATTTGGATCTAAGTTCTATACATCTCGAGGTGATTATTTGGATCGCAAGCTCATATATCTCTGGTTTAACAACAACAAAAAAATCTGTTTCTTACTTATATTTAGTTTACTTATTATTACAGTGAATAACCTCACTAGTTTTTAGTATACGATCTTAACTTTAGGATTAGGTGAAAGGTGGTAGAAAATGGTCTCCCGAGCTTTAAATATTTTTAAGATTTTAAAACTCGGTAAAGTATGAGCTAAAGATTTTTTTCTTCTTAATGAAATCATTAATTTTACAATTCTACTCAACTGTAGTAACTTTAATACACCTTCGACTACAAGTTTTAGATTTTTTCTTTGTCTGTTTATGAAATAATAGTTAACAGCTAAGCCGCATTGACATGAGGTCTTCGTTTCTTTATCATTAGTCTATATAATTTTATACTTAATTTCTCACATAAAAGTAGCTTTTGATGATGTGTTACAAAAAAAAAAAAAAAAAAAAAATTCTCACATAAAAGTAGCTTTTGAAAAGTTTTTTTTACACGATGATGGGTTTTTAAATACCACGACGTCAGTAATCTTCTCTCATCGTCATCGCAGACGCACTATCACGAAATGGGCTTTGAAAGGCTCATTAGGAACAAAGTCGAAAGCCCAAATCATAAGCGGCTACTAGTCACGACTCTCATTCTTGCTTTTTGTAAGAAGCAGAGCCCATGAACAACAACAAACGCAGTGTTACCTATCTACAGTGGTAGAAAATAAAACTTCGATAAAATTTTGAGCCATCCTATGATATACAGTCTAGCAAGAGAGCTTCAAAATCAGAAGAAACAAGAGCAGCTCCAAAGACTCTCTCAATAACAGCCTCAGCATCAGTTAGTTTCTGAGTGTAGCAATAAAAAAAAACTTAAGTAACAGTGAGGAAGAAACTACTTAGAAGAATCAGATCCATATTCATTTACAAAATGTATATTTTCAGTGTATCTTTCAAAATCTAAATGTTAACAAAATCAGATGCAAAATGCTCTTGAGGATAATGATTTATAAAAAACAATTAGATGACTGGTTGTCTCTGCTACACTAATCTTATAGCCACAAACAACACAAACAATTATTCCCAAACTCTTAACATTTAATTTTAAGAAAAAAAAACAATTATTCCCTAACTCAAAGACGTATACTAAAACCATTTATCAAAGGAGACAACTTTGATAATCTCTTAGCAAAAGATGCATGGTGAAAGTGTTGTGTTCAATTTTCAGACAACCAAAATCATAAACTGAGTAACATACGATAGATAATAAGTGACAGTGAGGAAAAGAAACTGTTTAGAAGAGTCAGATCCATGTTTACAAAATCTATATTTGCAGTGTAACGTTCAAAATCTAAAATGTTCAACAAAATCAGAAGCAAAATGCTCTTGAAGATAATGATGCATAATAAACAATTAGATGGCTGGTTGTCTCAGCTACACTAATCTTAGCCACAAACAACACAAACAATTATCCCCAAACTCAAAGATGTATACTAAAACCATTTATCAAAGGAGACAACTTTGATAATCTCTTAGCACAAAGAAATGCATGTTGAAAGTCTTGTATTCAATTCTTAGACAAACAAAATCATAAACTGAATAACATAAAGATAGATTATAAGTCCTTAATAATATTATTACCAACAAACGATCCATCCACTTAAAAAAAAAACCAAACTAAAACCGATAATTATTTCAGATTCGTCCATCTAAACGTCCAGACACAATAAAAAAAAAAAAAACGAATCTAATCAAAGAGACTCATCATGCCTCCATCATCCGACTCCTCCTTCTCTTCCTCAACCTTCTTCGCTTCCGCCTCTGGCTCAGCCGCCTTCGCTTCCTCTCCTCCTCCTGCTCCCGCCACCATAGCAACAGCTCCACCACCAGACGAGAGCGCTCCCATCTTCTCCCTCCCTGCCGCGATCAGCTCCGCCACGTCGTGATCCTTCACCAGAGAGAACAACAGATCCACCTTCGCCTCGTCGAACTCAGCGCCGACGGAATCGAAGATGGTTTTGAGGTCATTTTTGGTTGGTTTCTCGGTTCCGGCGAGTTTCGCGAGGAGGAAAGCTGCGATCACCTTCATCTTGTTTTTTTGTTTTTGGTCTCTGCGTAATGTATTGACTGCTAGGGTTTGTGATGGTTATTAGGATTTGTGTATTTAAAGGGGTTAGCCTAAGTGCTGCCTCCCCTCTCCCCATAATGAGGAGGAGATTTCTAGGGTTTTCTTTCCGTACGTACGCTACACGAAAGCCGAGCCGAATGTGGGCCCATGTTACGGGCTTTTAATGGGCTTTTTGTATGCACATTAATGAATAAGAAGTTTTTTTCCCTTTTTTTTTAAAAGAAGCTGTGGTTTAATAATAACTAGTGGTTAATCTGCGTTTCGCGCGGAATATTTATCAATTGTGTAACATAATATTTGATATTTTTTATAAGAACTAATTGTGTATTGTGTAAATGAACATTTGTAGCTATCCGTTAACAAATTACATTCAAAAAGTTTAAATTTGTCTAATTTGGTTACCATTATTGTCAAAGAAGTACCTTTGAGTGCATAAGTTATATATACCCTTAAAGTTTAGCTATTTTATGGATCATTTGTATTTGTATTTTCATTATTTATATCACATATTATTATTAGGTGATTTCTGAATAATTCTTCCAAAGGAGACGGATAATATATGTATTATCTGTAAAAGAACATAAAACTTGAGTCGCTGGCAAAATTCTCCCCTAATCTGAATTATACTATGTGTAGTAGAAAAGAATAAATATTGTAATGTATTAGTTTGAGTTTATTTAGTATGAAAATATCCTCCAAAAGTTTATATTTATAGTATTTTTTACTTTGCAACAGATTTTGTGTTAAAGTGAAAGTGAGTAGAGATGTAGTATATTCATATTTGTAAATAATATATAAGTGAAATTAGTACAATATTGTGGTTTTAAACATGCAGTTCCCACAATTCAAATGGGATTTTAAATGTAATATTAACGAAGTAAAGATTATTTAGTAATTTGAATTTAAAGTTTAACGTTTATTGTTTTAGAGTTTAAAGTGTTTCGGTCTAGAGTTTAAAGTTTAGAATTTGGATTTAGAGTTTAAATATTTATTTTATTTGTTAAGAAACATTTACTCCTATTATAAATAAGAGTTATAAGGGAATATATATATATATATACAAATGGGGAAGTAGCCGATATTCCTCTTTCTATTTTCAACGGTTAGTTTTGATGTTTACTGTGAGTTGATATAATGTGTGTGGTGTGTATAGTTCTACAATTTTTATCCGAGCCAAACCGTAATTTTCAGTTTTCAGCTCAGTTATGATCATGAGTTCGGTTTTGTTCTGTAGGGTTTTTGAAACTATTCAGTGTTTGGTTTGATTTTTCTTTACGTATATATACCAAAATATCAAAAATATCCAAAAATAAGCAAACCGAATTAACTAAAAATATCTGAAATAACCGAATTTACCAAAAATATCCAATTATTTTAATAAAATTATACCAAATTCTAACCAAGAACCAACAAATTGTTATTTTTGAAAATAAAATTGAAATTTGAAATTAACTGATAACCGTACATAACCAAAATATAAATTGATTAATTTCAGAATTAAATTCAAAATCACAGTTAACTGAAAACCAAATCACACGTCTAGGTGTGCACAACAATATAATAGGTATAAAATAAAGTAATGTAGTCTCTCTTAAATCTTGTACAAACAACATTATATTAGTTTAGACTCTTCTTTAGATCATTCTTCTTTAAAAACGTTTGAAAAATCCACCGGTGCATTGTGTTGTCCACACACATTTTAGTGTTAGATGCATACATGATACATGCATATATAGATATATTCTCTTTTGTTTGTACATTTGCTGCTAATAATTATTTTGGAGCAATTAACTGGCTGTAATTCGTTGAATCTCTTTTAGTTTGTGTCTTAAAGAATCTAATCCTAACTTTCTTAGACACAAGGAACTCTGTCATTCATTTCACAAAATTATTTGTGTGCAATTCTTTTCTCAGCTCTCACAAAGACAAATCCAATATGAAGAAATCAATTTAGATCATTAGTTTACATGAAAAACATGCTATTGAGAATCAATACCCCATTTAGATTAACAATACATGTATGGCTTTTTTCTCTGCTCCAATTGTTTTAGATAATGGAGTTTGAAAACAGGTACATGCTTTACCTCCCTTCAAGAAAATTGTTAATGGAGTTTGAAAACAGGTACATGCTTTACCTCCCTTCAAGAAAATTGTCCAGATCTCTTTATCTTCTTTTTTTTTACCAACTTTGTCGCCCATTCAAATGAAATTCACTTCCACTCTCGGAAGAGATGGACCGATGACTGGTCTCCTGCATAAAGCTTAAAGCATCACCACACCAAAAGAGTAAAGATCAGAGTTCTCAGTCAGTTGTTGCTTAGTCAAATACTCTGGATCTAGATAACGAAAGCTTCCTTTCACCGGCATACTCACATGTGTCTGGTAAAGATCCATATCAGTCTTAGGCAATAGAAAGTCTGCAGCTTTGACATGACATTATCATCCAAGAGAACGTTAGCAGACTTCACATTGCTGTGTTTGATGGCTATTGGAAAACCTGTATGGAGATAGCGAAGCCCTCTAGCTGCACCAACGCATATCTCAAGCCTCTGTCTCCAGCTCAACCTCGGGTTATCTGACGCATAAAAATGGTCCTTTAGCCTTCCATGCTCCATATACTCATACAAGATTAAAGAAACGAAATGCATGTGTATGAACTGAGACAACATTTCAATCCCTGTCCTGCATTTTATTGATGTAAAGCTATAGCTGATTAGTATTTCTGTGTTTAAAATATTACATCTGTGTTTTAAGATCCATATGGTCCAAAAAAATTGATTGATTCTGGCGATAGACCATATAATACAAATGTCAACTTTCCTCGTTTGTCCTTTAAATCGGGGATCCTGCACTGAAAAAGACAGAATGGTTCGATCCACTTTGTATTTTTTTACACATTCAGTCTTTCATCAATGCAAGAGCAGAGAAGTTGGTTTCAAACCTCTGGATATGGTCTAGTATCGGAAGCCTTGTCCCTGGTTGGATGCTCACATCTTTTACTGCGTCATTCATATTTGAAAAAGTATCAAGACATCGTCTTAGTTACAACACAAAATAAACCTTCAAGATGATATATATACATATCGGTGAGAAAGTAAAGAATAATAACTCACTTTGAAAAAAATATTCCTTAGAAGATAGTAGAACGAGCAGCAATGGTGGTTGTCCTTGCAAGCCTTGGCTCACCAAAGAGTACGAAAATCCATATCCTAATACTGCTACCACGTTGTCAAAGTCATTGAATAAATAGTAACTTAATAAACTTCTGCAGCTAAATGGCTCGTGAGCTAATACTTACGTGATTCCACTTTCACAGGTTCAAGATCCTCAAATTCTATGACATAATCTTGATGTGGAAGCTGTCAAAAATATATCTTCATTCATCACACATACTTCTTTCACTACAAGAAAACTCGTCCATTACTAGGACGGGTTTTCCTCGTTAGTTCCTAGTAAATGGCCTTTTACTAGGAACTTACGAGGAAACGCGTTTCCTCGAAACACGTTCATCGTAAAGACATTTTCCTCGTAAGGTTGTAGCGAATTTACGAGGAAAGTTTTCCTCGTAAAGGCGTGGTAATATTTTCCTCGTAAG